GCCATCAATGCCAGCCAAATCCACGTTTTCTTAAACCGGCAGCATAGAATTTCTAGGACTTAAGCGTTTTTCTCAGTGTAACTACTCCGCCAAAGCATTGTCTCCCTGTGGAATTTTAAATGAATTCAAAAGTCGAGCAAAACTAAAAATATCTCTCACTTCCTATAGATTAGCTTGTTTACGCCCAGGTTTCCTTCCAATTCTTTTCCCCAGTTAACTTGGCTAGTCGTTCTGCCACTCATAGCATGAAAATTTGTGAAACCTAGAAATTGTTAGGTAAACAAAACTTTAAAAATTGGAAGACAAAATTCTCCCTTTTCCCAAGTCATTAGTTTTTGTTTTGTTTTGTTTTTTAAGATTTTGTTTATTTATTTATTTATTTATTTATTTAGTTTTTTGAGACAGGGTCTCTCTGTAGCCCCAGCTGACCTGGAACTTGCTATGTAGACCAGGCTGGCCTTGAAGTCACAGAGATCCACCTGCCTTTGCCTCCTGAATGCTGGAATCAAAGGTGTGTGCCACCATGCCCGACCTGCCATCATTATTTTGGTTCACAGATTTTCTTGGATTTGGCTACTTCAAGCTGTGTTTTGGTATTTTCTGTGATTCTTTGAGCACTTTCTTTATAGCACAATAAAATATCTTGTTTTTTCCAGACTTAATTTGTTCTTTATGTACTCAGGATCTAGATTTAGCTCTTTCTCCAAAGAGCTGATGGGCAGAGTTTTATTTTTAGGGGGTGGTAAATAAGTACACATACTGATTGGCATTGTGCCATCTGCCTTAGTGTTGAATAATTTACTGCTGGTAGCCTTTTAAGGTCAGAGTGCCTAAGGAGCTGCTGAAGGTTTTTCTGTTACTGCTTTTGATACATATGTATATTCACCTACCATCTTTCTTTCCTAGTAACCAGTATTTTAACATGGCAGACGTATATATATGTTTATATTTATATTTGGTCTTTTTGAGACAGGGTCTCCCTATAGCCCCAGCTGGCCTGGAACTTGCTATGTCAACCAGGCTGGCCTTGAAGTCAGAGCGAGGCACCTGCTTCTGCCTCCCAAGTGCTGGGATTAAAGGTGTGCACCACCACACCCAGCTATTAAACATGTTTTTTTTTTTTTTTTCTCCTTACATTTGCTCATTTGAGTGACTGTTGAGCACATTCTAGAAGTGTAGTTCTATACTGTTTTCTTAAGACTGTTTGAGAAATATCTGTATTTGTCAACAGACTTAACTATAGTTTTATCCTCTAGCTCTTGCTCTGGGTTATTGTAACATTTGTCATTCAAAAATAAATGTCCTCTATCAGAGAATAGTAAAAATTGCCACTTTTGTAAAATTATTATACCTGTTAGAACCTTCTGTCTTTCATGATGCTGGGAATCACACTTATGTCCTTGCAGTTGCTAGACAAGTGATCTATCACTGAGCCACACTCCCACTCTAGAACTTTGTATCTTGTGTCAGTTATTTTTTGTAATATTTCCTTTACTCAATTAACTTATAAACAGCAGCTGAAACTCAGTCAACTTTTGTTTTATTCTACCTCATCTGTACTGTATTGCCCTAGTGTACACTCAGAAGGAATATTTTTGGTGGCTTTTCTCCTTTTGTTGACATATTGGACAGACCTAATATGGCTGGTGGTGCACACCTATATTCCTAGCACTTGGCACATTGAATTAGGGGGACTCAGGAATTTATAGCTAGCTTTAGCTACCTTGTAAGTTTGAGGCCAACCTAGGCTATGTGAGACCCTTCCTCAAAAAAACCCAAAGAAACAAATCATTCAGTATTGTCTTCACATTCACAAGAAATCCGAATAACTGTTCTAATTAATTTTAAGATGACAAAAAGGAACTTGGAGCAGCCAGACGAAGTCAGTATTACATGAAATATGGGAATCCAAATTATGGAGGCATGAAAGGAATTCTTAGCAATTCATGGTGAGTCTAAAACCCTAGAGTAGCTGTTGTTTGTTTTAATGTCTTTATTATTCCTAAATTAATTACATATAATAATGGGTTTCATTTGACATTTTCATACATGTGATTGTGTCACCCCTTACCTTCTCCCACCCTTTCCCATTCCTGCTAGCCCTTCTCTCGTCCCTGCTAGCCTCTCTTCTACTCTCCTGTCTTTTCTTTGGGACCTAGTGAATTTCATTAGAGTTTTTGCAGGAGCATGGGCACCTTACCAGTGGTTACACCACTGAAAAAATGTCTCTCCTTCCCCCATCAACCATCAACTGCGAATAAATCCTCAGGGAAGGATGAGATCCCATGATTCCTTTCTCCTTCCATGATGGGGTTGATGGGCCCAGTCTTGCACAGGTAATTACAGCTGTTGTGAGTTCAAGAGTGCAACAGCTTGAAGCACTAGAAAGTCAGTTTTCTACACTTTTCACCCGGCGCTCCCTTTCTCTGGCTCTCACATTCTTCTAGTCCCTTTTCCACAATGTTCCCTGAGACTTGGAGGGGTGATATAGATGTCCCATTTATGGTAGGCTTTCAAGAGTCATTTTTAGTACTTTGTACAGTTTAGAAGTCTCTGCATTCATTGCTACCAAAATGTTTGGTTTGGTTTGTAGTTTAGTTTTGTTTTGTTTTTTGAGACAGGGTCTCCCTTTAGCTCTAGCTGTCCTGGAACTCACTATGTAGAGCAGGCTGGCCTCAATCTTACAGATATCTGCCTGCCTCTGTCTCCCAAGAGCTGGGACTAAAGCTATATGCCACCATACCCAGCTTTTGATTTTTAGTTTTTTGGGAGGTTTCATGTAACCCAGACAAATCCCAAATTCTCTATGTAGCCAAGCCTGACCTTGAACTCCTTATCTTTCTGCTTCTACCTCCCAAGTACTGGGATAACAGATGTGTATCATTGTGTCCAGCTTAAAAATAGAATAATTTATCTATTGCTTCAGTTTGTCTTAACCCTTCAGTTGTTAACCTGTAGTGGAATGTCAGACCTGCTGACTGAAGGAAGACAAGGGAAGAATCCATGATTTGTAGCTGTGGTGAATAAGATGAGAATGCTGCTTCAGTTGCAGTTAAAATCTCTGTTATTCAGTACCTAATGTGTGGCAGTGGAGTTGGAATGAACTGGTGGAGTTCAGCATTATTCCTGTTGGTTTCTGATGACGTGCTTGTTTTGGCAATATTACAGGAAGCGGAGATACCATTCCCGTCGCATTCAGCGGGATGTGATCAAGAAGAGAGCCCTGATTGGGGATGACGTTGGCTTGACGTCGTATAAACATCGACATTCCGGTAGTTGCCTGCTCAGCTCTTGGGTAGACACGTTTGGCTCTCGAAATCATATTTTTGTTGTTAATACAGTCTTTTAAGGTTCCAAACTTTATCATCCTATCTTCCTTGCCCTCACTTTCTGCCAACATACAGGAAAGTAAGTCAAGTCATAATTAATTTTAAATTACCATACAAAGAGGTCAAATGATTTTATAAAACTGTTCTAACAAAAAAGACCAAATGTGACAGAGAAAAATAAAACAAAGCTTTTCTTAGGAACTTTTTTACTATTAATATCAACAACTGTATGAAAAAAAATAACAGAAAACTACCAAATTGACTGATTTTATTGTTCTGTTTCTGATCATGTATACAGGCTGCTGTGCTGAGTGCTTTTTACATGCTGTTTGTGCATATGAATGCTACTAAAAAGTGAAATATTATGACTTGAGTTTTCTTTCTGTCTCTTTCTTTCTTGTATGTTTATTTTAAAGGAACCATCTTCATTATGCTTTCAAAAGATTTATTTTTATTTTGAACTTATCTGTGGCTTCTACATGACTTATAGAACTCAAGTAAGCAGACAAATAATAGCATATGCACATGTGTCAGGGAGAGATGAAGTATATACACTTTTAGTTCATGTTTATATATAGAATTGTATGTTTGAAATCTACATATTAGCAATGCAGATATTTCTCTGTTACACTTTTCCAATTTCAGTTATTTTAAGATATTGTCAAAAATCTA